TCACCATTTTTCACAGATTTATACATAATGGCTTTCCGGATACACGCCCGGACTGTGCACGTAAATTGAAGTGAGACAGGAAGAGGTTTTTAAGGTACCGGAACACATAATTTATTTCTAAAACAAGTGATGACCTTTTGGGTCATCACATTTCAAGTTAGGTTTATAACCCTTCCAAAATTCATATGAAGTTTTACCAGTTCTTCTATGTGGTATTCTATTTTGTAAGTGACAAACAGATAATATAGCTTTACCACACAAATTATCACGAGCATTAGGACTAACTAACATAGAGTTTATCATCTCTTTCAATGTTCTATATTTCTTTTTAGCTACTCCATTTGACTCAGGTGAATAAGGCGGAGTTACTTCATGAATTACTTCATTCTTTTCACAAAAATCATTTAAAGATAAATATTCTCCACCTCTATCGGATCTAATTCTCTTAATTTTTCTATTAAGTTGATTTTTAACCTCAGCTTTATGAGAAATAAAAGCACTAAAAGCATCATCTAAAATTTCCGTAGTAGTATTATTTTGTCATAGTTTCTTAGATTGTAGGAAAATAATACGAAAATATAACAATAACACAACTATAATATTATTTATAAGCAGATACATGAATTGGCTTGAGTCGGACTAGGCACTGTCCTAAGAAACTATTTCAACAAAGTGAAATATTTTCCTAGGATTAAACAAGCGTTATTTATTTAGAGGATACAAGAATCAAAAAAATATTAAGATTACAAATCCAGCAATTTAAAAGAGGGGAACAAAAGAAATTAAACTACTAAAATAAAAAGAAAGACAACAAAGTAAAGTCGATGAAGACCGAAATTAGAAAGAAAGAAGTATGAAGGATTTTTTGGTCTAGCTAATGATGATTTTCTTGTCTAATTGAGAGTCTATTTATATGCACATGTACATGGATCCAGCATGGTGAGGGAAAAGACCGTGCAAATGCAATTGCCACTTTTCAAAAGCATTTTGCCATTTATCTCATAGCTTCTAGAAGGGTTGCCACATGGTTTTGATTAAGACATTTGTCAACAAAAGACTTTAAAATATTGCCACAGCTAGAGACATGAAAATGCAAATGAACCTCTGCAAATAGTATTTTTAATGACATATTTGATATAGTATATGTTTCATTGATCATAACTAGACATATCTTATTTTGCTCTAGTACATCATTTTTTTCCCTGCGCGTATAAGTTGCTTAAGAAAATTATAAAATAGCTTGTTAAATATGAATTTCGTTTATTAATAGCTTAAAGAATCAGGGTAAGTTCCGTTTTTTTGTTGCATTTTCAATTACTCTGATAATGAGTTTGGTCGATGATGAGGAAAAAGAGTAAACAACCACTGTTAATCATTTTTGGGAGTTGGGGTAGTAAAAGAAACAATAAAAATTTAGAAAGTATAGTAAAATTTATGTAGAGTTTTTTTTTTGGTATAAAAGATGACTTGCATAAATTAAAAGTTGCTTACAGGGGATTGATGCTCATGCACCATAGTACTTATACTAGCACTAAATACATTATCACTGATAGAGGCTGCTGCTATCCTATCTATTGCCAAAACAGTATTGGCAACAACCTCATTAGCTACACGGTTACTAACAAAACATGTTTTCCTATCGTGAGAAGCAACTTGTTGTGCATCTTGTATAGATACTAGACGTTGAGTAGTTGTTCCCATTTGATATGCCTACAGTTGAGCTGATACAATAAGCGGTGGTTTAACAAAAATTTGCAGCATAACCTGATCTTGCATCCTACTTCCTAGTTTTGCAAGTAGGTCTGCTAGTCCATTTTGTTCTCTGTACACATGTCGAACTGGTGGATCATGTAGCATCCTGAGGAGATGCTTGCAGTCACAAATTAGATTTGTGTACTTAGAATTATCTGTATCTAAAAGTGTGATTACCTCATGCGCATCTGTTTCAACTTCCAACGGAATTAGTTGCATTTGCAAAGCGAGACTTAGCCCCTTTATGCATGCATGCAGCTCTACAGTGATACAATGTACATGTGGGACCTGAACAGCAAAGCCCACCATCCAAGCGCCTAAGTGGTTCCTAACTACTCCTCCAATTCCATCAGTATCTGTTTCGGAAGATGTTGCCCCGTCTGTGTTTAATTTGTAATAGTTAGGCTACGGAGGTATCCATTTAAGGTTCAGAGGAACTTTTTTATGATGCGTATGTTGTGATGCTTCCATATAGGCGAACTCAATAGTTTGATTTAAAACTAGATGTGGACTTGGTTTTAGCGAAGTGTGTTCATATAGAATCTTATTTCTAGTAGTCCAGATATTCCAAAGGCTTAGTGACAAAAAATGTCTATGTTAACTTTATGGGGAAGTTGGAGAAGGTTGGAGTGAATTATTTTATGTAACTATTGGCTTGTGGGGCCTATGTGCGGGAGTTTACAAATGTAATCACTCAGCCCTATCGAAATTCAATATTGTTGAGCATTAGAGCAGGTGAGGAATATATGAGTTATAGTTTCTGGTGTGTCTGGACAGATAGGACAAGATGGTATTGCAGATATGCCTATATAATGGAGGTAGTGGCGCGTGGGAAGCCTATTATGTTGTAATAGCCAAATGAATGTTTTGATTTTTGGCTGGATTGGCAGTGCCCAAATCCATTTGAAATCGTTTGTTGTGATAGGGAGTTGGGTTTTATTATTAGCTAGCTCCTTATACATAGTTTGCACAGTGAATTGTCCATTGTTTGTAAGTGCCCAAAAGAATTGATCTTGTTGTTGTGTATAGTTAGAGAGGTATTATTTATTGACAACGATTTTTATGTCCGCAGTAATTTCAAACGGGAAATTTGCCCAGTTCCATCCCTGATGAGTGAGTACGTGAGACAGTGGAACTTTGTCATGAAACTGTGGCAATGGTCCTATGAACATGGATCGCAAAGGTGTTCCTGATTTAAGCCATGGATCAGTCCACAACTTGATATGGTTCCATGTCCCCACTCTCCACTGGATACCCAATTGACAGCGATTTCAACCTTTTAAAATATTACGCCAAGTTAATGAGAAATTAGCTAATGATTTTAGTGGGAGATATTTATCCAAAGAGCTTGTGGTTTCTGAAAGATCTTCCAAGCTAGGCTTGCTAACAAAGCATTATTCTTAGTTCTTAGATTTTGGATATTTAATCCCCCCTTTACTGCAGGAGTGGTAATGTACTCCCATTTGATAAGATGTAACTTTTTCCGTGTATTAGTAGTACCCCACAAAAAGTTTCTTTGGTAACTCTCCATTTGTTAATTATGTTTGTGGGAATATCGATGTATTGCATGACATGATTGGGGAGGGAATTGAGTGCAGATTTTATTAAAGTAGTTCTTCCCGCCATAGTCAAGAATTTGGTCTTCCATCCAGCTAGACGACCTTTAAAGTTGTCAAGTATGAATTGAAAATCAGTCTTACGTGGTCCATTGTGAAATATGGGAAAGCCTAAATATTTGCCAAAAGACTGGCCTTCCTTCATTGCAAATGATTGCAGCACAAAATTTTTAGTTGAATCGGAGCAATTTTTTGAGAAAAAGATCTTAGATTTTTGGAAGTTGATTTTTTGGCCCGAGTTTTGATTAAAATGATTGATAACATCAATAATAGCATGACAACTTCGTGTATTGCTTTTAGAAAGAAGTATGATGTCATCGGCGAAGAAAAGATGAGAGATATCTGGACCCTTTTTTGAAATACGGATAGAATGCCAGTGTAGGTAATCTATTGACTGTTCTATCATACAGGAGAACATTTCCATACATATTATAAATATGTAGGGAGACAAAATATCCCCTTGACGAATGCCTCTCGATGGACTGAAGTAGGAAGTACGGGTTCCATTAATCAGTATTGATGTAGTTGTAGTAGTAATACAAGACATGATTAATTGGATTATTGAGTTAGGGATGTTAAAATAAAGAAGAATATTTCTGATAAAAGACCACTCTAGGCGACCAAAAGTCTTTTCGAGGTCTAACTTTAGAAGCATGTAACTAGTTTTTCCTTTTATCTTTTTAAAATGATTATAATTTCCTGAACTATTATGGCATTGTCTGAAGCCCTCTTTCCCTGCTGGAAGCTAGTCTGTGTTGGACCGATAATTGTTGAAATCACAGGTTTTAGTCTATTAATAAGAATTTTTGTGATTATCTTGTAAACAGTGTTGCACAAACTTATAGGCCTATATTGTTGGATTGTATTCGCGTGCTTGACTTTGGGAATTAGGCAAATGTAAGTATAATTAAGGTCTGAAGGAACTGCCTTATCAAGGAAAATTTGGTGACAAAATTGCTTCACCTTAGGGCCTACTTCGTTTCAGTATTTTTGGTAGAAATAAGGATGTAGGCCATCCGGGCCAGGAGCTTTGTAAGGTTGCACGAGTTATTTCAACGTCATTAAGAGGTACCTCCAATAAATGAAAATCATTAGGGCTGATTGTATTTGAATGCACCTGACAAATGTCATTGGAAGATTGTGTGTGTTTAGTAGTAAACAATTTTTGGTAATAATCCAAAATTTGTTGATGGATCTTCGCTGGGTTGAAACACTAGTTACCTACCGTGTCCTTTAGAGCAGTTATCCTATTTTTCCGGCGTCATTGAATTGTTGACACATGAAAAAACTTAGTATTGGCATCGCCGTCGTTGAGCCAAGCTAGAGTTACTAAATAATATTATTAGTAAAATAGCATCAAAAACTTAAAATACAAAATGTCACTATATAAATTTTAAAATATGAGAGTATTATTTGGCCCAAGACTCTTGGGCCAAGAGTGTGAAATGAGGAAATCAAATGATATTGGATTGTGTGAAACATAGCGAGCGTGATAAGGACACTAACGGATTATTCACGCACCTAAGAAATTATGCTTTGGACCATAGAACCATAATATGCCACGTGCGTATTTGAACGTGCTCATTTGTTGCTCATCCCATTGAGGTAAGAAAAAAAATTTCACTCGCTTGCAATGTTACCTTCTTGGAAAGCTATTGTGGGCTCAGTCATCACGCCAAAAAAAGTAAAAATAAATAAATAAATAATCATAATTCATAGGGAAAGTTCAAAGTCTTCTTCTTCCTTGCCCTTCACTCTTTTCCTTTCTGTGGTTATCTCTCAAAACCCCAAAGTCCTCTTATCAACTTATGCTTTGATCTGTGCCTTATTTAACTGAAGCTGCTTTGAGGTAATTTATTATTACTCGCATGGTTTTGTTAATTCGTTCAATTTTAATTACTGGGTATCGGAAATTGAGCTTCTTTTACTATTTGGAGGACTGGCTAGTTATTTTTTACTATTTGGTTGGTTATAGAGTGGTTTCGGGAATAAAGGATAATTAAGTGAAATTTTTGAATTTGTAATATGGTTATTATTTTTTATATTGAACATGGTGATAGATTGTGGTGGGATTAGGGGAAGGAAGCTCTTTTCAGTGTTGGGTTTGAGATGTTATTCTCAAATTTGTTTAACAAAGGTGGAAATTTTGGGGTTTAGTCCCCTCTTTGTCTCTGAGCTGCTGTTGAAAGTTTATTAATCAATTAGTATGAAATTATAATCGGGGACTAGCCAAGTGGAAAGCTGGAAAAACAGATATTGGTATCGATGCCATACTAAACCAAACGAGCGAGACATTGTATTTGTGATCGTCACTGAGTTGAAACAAAAATCAGAAAAATGTTAGAAGAATAAAGAAATATATAAAATAGTAAAGAATCAGAAATATTCCGAGTCCACAATTTTCTTGTGCGTCCTTAAGGAATTTTAACCACCTCACACGTTGCCAAGGTAATGGATTAAATCCTCCCAGGATAAAACGGAATAAACCTTCCTGCAACAGTGGCAATACAAACTGCAGCATACCAACGAACTCAAAGAACGGAGCAAAAACACACTTACCAAGTGATTTGGCATTTAATTAATTATTAAATAATTAAATAAATTTTGTCCAAAAATAATCTTATCGATCGATCATTTTCCAATTCCAATTCCAATTCCAATTCCAAATCCAAATCCAAATCCAAATCCAATTCCAAATCCAATTCCAATTCCAATTCCAATTCCAAATCCAAAAGCCCGAGCCGAGCGAGCGACGACGACGGCGCGAGGGTTCATTCTCTTCAACTCCTTTTAAGAGCTTTAAGAAGTGAATCTATATATAAGCACATAAATGTGATTGTCCCTCACCAATGAGGGACAAAGTGCAAGACAAAAGTTCACTTCTTCAAATTTTCATTTTCCCTCCATTTTATTTCCCTCCATTTCCAATTCACACTTCTTCTCTTTTAAAGCCCAATGGCTTAAAGTTCAACAGTATTGTCTCTAATCTCTATGTAGCATTTGATTCTCAGCAGTGTAAGTCAAAGCAGGTAAGGTGATCATTTGGTGTTAAGGGCTTTCTTTAGGTTTTTCTCCAGTTCCAACCAAGAGGTTGTGAGTTCGAGTCACCCCAAGAGCAAGGTGGGGAGTTCTTGAAGGGAAGGATGCCGATGGTCTATTTGGAAACAGCCTCTCTACCCAGGGTAGGGGTAAGGTCTGCGTACACACTACCCTCCCCAGACCCCACTAGTGGGATTATACTGGGTTGTTGTTGTTGTTGTTGTTGTTGTTGCATATGAGATTAGTAAGTCAGAATGCTTGTTGCTTTTTTGCTTGCTTTGTTAAAGTGGAGTAATGTTTAAGGTTTTGTCTTTTGACAGATGGAGGACGGCAAGATGTCTGAGGATATTTTGACTTCAGCTGCGGCATTTGTTGAAGGTGGAATTCAGGATGCCTGCGATGATGCCTGCAGCATATGTCTTGAAGCATTTTGTGACAGTGATCCTTCTACGGTACATAGTTCACATTATCCCGTGTTACTGTGAACAGAATTGGCTTTATAATGGAGTAATATAATTTTTCAACTTGCAGGTGACTGGTTGCAAGCATGAGTTCCATCTTCAATGTATTCTTGAATGGTGATCTAAATATTCCCTATTAATTAGATATCTCATGTCTAAATTGTTCTTTCACTCATCTCTAGGATGCATAGTGCTTGGTAATGACTTCCCAAAAAGGTGACATTTTGTGGACATTGATGGCTGCCTAAGGGCCTTTATTGTTCCTCTAATGTTATAAAGATGAGTTGTAGGCTTTCTTGCGGAAAATTAGAATGCTCTATGAAGTGCCTCTGGTGGGAACACACAAACTAGATGTAGAGTATTTTGACAATGTTAAAGATCCAAATACTGCAATTAAGAATGTCATTGGGCTTCTCAATTAAAAAAATGACATGAGGCTTTTGGAGTTTGTCTTTTCTTCTGATATATTCCTTTGTTACCCAACTTTTGGGTTCCATGGTTTTCTTGGAGGATTATGTGCTCCTACTTGAGCAGTTCACTTGAAGATGTAAGAGAAAGGCGGTCATTATGATTTCAGCATTGTGATTCGTTCTGATTAATAAGATACCCATAAATAAACGATGCTTGATGTTGCTCACTGATTGTATAGATGATGTAGAATGTAATCACAATTGATGACCGTGAAAAGGGTGTAACATCCATAGTTTTTATCCATGATTTTTGGCATTTCATCTTATCTATTAAGCTTTTATACCCAACTTCCTGCAAAGGAGGCCCAAAGAGCAGGAGGGGGTTTGTTATTACCGTTTCCTTCTTGTGTCTGTTTAGGACGATAAAAGAGTGAGCAAAATAATGACAAATGACTTCTTGATGCACCAAATATCTCCTATTTAACATTGTTTCGACCAAATTTCATTTGGAAGGTTAAACTTAAGTGGCATTGATCAATTCATGATTGTATCCGCTATTTCTGATATTAAAATTAGAAAAAAGGTAAAATTGGCGCATTTGATTTTCTCTTTTTTTTTTTTTTTTTTAAAAATTTAAATTGTTGGAACAAAGTTTTATTCCTTCAAATTTGTATTTGTCATGGAAGATTATCAGTTGATAGATTATGAATTTTTGGATCTTTGGCTGTATATGCTGCAAATACTGAGACTAAAGGCACGAATAGAGCTTAATTTGAAAGCACTAATATCTTGAATAATTTTAATGTATGTGCTGTAGGTGTCAGCGAAGCTCCCAGTGCCCCATGTGTTGGCAGGCTCTCAGCTTGAAAGACCCTAACAAGTTCGGTCTTATTCTCAAATCAGCCACTTGTTTAGTTGTTTATCAGTTTATGATCTTTCTTAGTCCTCCTTCAATGCTGTTGATACATGTGCTTCTCTTTCAGCCAGGAATTGTTGGATGCAGTAGAGCACGAGAGAAACATCAGGATGAATCCTCCTAGAAACACCACAATCTTTCACCATCCAACTCTAGGAGATTTTGAATTACAGCATGTTAGCATTTCTGAAGTCCGCGAAAGTTTTTTCTTCTTATAAGCTGTTGATGATCCATTTTGTGACATAATCTTGTATGTTTCTTTCACAGTTACCTGTAAGTGCAACTGATTCTGAACTTGAAGAGCGTATCTTTCAGCACTTAGCTGCTGCCGCTGCCATGGGAAGGACACGCCACCTTGCCAGAAGGGAAGGTCAGCGAGGTAGGTCATCAGGTCAAGGTCGTCCCCACTTTCTGGTGTTTTCAACTCATCCAAATGCTCCTCCTGCTGCTGCTGCTGCTTCATCTTCTACTCAAAGGAGTGGGGGTGGACCCACTCCTGCAGTCTTGGTTTCTGGTCAGGATTCTCCAATTGTTGCTGTCGGAGAAGGTTCTGGACAACTAGTCACTCAACCATCTTCTTTTCAAGCTGATCAGGTTTCTGCCTCTGGGTCAGGATCAAATGCTGCTGTTAATCAACTTGGGACTTCGTCAAATGATAGGTGTGTTTATTTGTCAAGCTTGGTTGAGAGTTTTGATGGTTCCTCTTTTCTTTTGCTCTATGTGGGTTACATAATTACAGTCATGGGAATGGATCCTCCAAAAATAAAATGGGTTTGCAATAATTACCAAAAGAAAGCTGGCACCCTCACCCTTTCTAGATAGGGGCACAACAAAAAGGCCTTCTCGTGGATTTTTCCCTTTTTGATAGCTATATCATTTTTCTTAATTCNATAAAGTCTCGACTTAGTGCAATGTCAATGAGGTATCTGGAAACTCTAATATCATCTCTTATAATTGTTCAGGTAACTTCTGAAACATCAGAAAATGTTATTTGTTTGTAAGCCCTATTTACTTGTTTTTATCGTCGTTTTTTAGATACAAAGAATCTTTAACGAAGAGTTCAAGGGGTTGGAAGGAGAAATTTTTCTCTCGCAACAGTTCGACATCAGACCATGGTCTGGAATCTAGGAATGAAGTCAGTGCAGCTGTTGCCACTGTATCACACCTGATGGAGCATCTGGAAACCACAGATAGCAGAGCCAGTTCTGCTGAATCAAATATATTGGAGGAGACTTTACCTGCTGGACGTGCTGAGCAGCATATACCTGAGATTGATGATACCCATTCTTTAAATGAGGATAATAGG